CCTTATATCCCCTTCGGACAGTGTAATCCCACATGTGCATAGGTTTTTCGCCAGGCCATTCCCACTCGTCCGGGTCGAATGGTAGTCTGGCCACCGACACTGTGGACTCGTAAGCAAGGTACCCGTCTGCCTGGTCTCCCACCACCCTTACGATTATGAGCCCACCCCAATCTTCGGAGATATCAAGGTCGGCATTCCTTGTGAGTTTAGAAAATCACGCCCTCTGCAGGGCGGGGGTGTACGCTTCCAGCTCACATTTCCCCCCGTCATTCTTGTGCACTCGGTAGACCACATGCTGATGCTGATGGGGGAGGTCAGTGTATCTGACAACCCAGTCGTGCTGTTGGACCGTGGGCCCTGCAGTTAGGGTGGCTCGCCAGGCAAAGGGCAGGGCCTCCCTCAACTGGGACAGTTTATCGGCCACATTCTTGACATGCTTCAATGTAGCCTGTATTTGAGTACGGTTGGCCCAGTCGTTTGTTCTGGGATCCCACAGATCCCCAACAGTAAAGATCCCCTTCCTTGCCCACGTTAACCAGTGCGAGTTAGCAGTGAGGAGAAAGGGGGTACCGGTATGATCCAAAATGTGGGGGTTGCCAAAAAGTGGTTGTCGCCACACCGTATGCTACCTGTTTTGTGGGCGTTTGCGTGTCGGGCTGCGTTTTCGCCAGAGTTTGATCATACAAGGCCATAAGGGATCATTCGAGATATGCTGTCTGGCTGCTTGGGCCGGAGTGGTTCCCGACCGCCCCTGCTGGCTCGGGCGCGGGATTGTCCAGTGGCCGTTGGTCAGCCATTGGAACGGATGCACCCTTTTTTTAGTTAATGGTTGCGGGGCCAGGTTGGCTATCTGTATGCAGGCCAAAGGGCCCCAGGGGATGTCATTCTTTAGCAGCAGGCTAACCAACACCTTGAACATCAGGGCATCAGTCTCTCTTTCAGGGTGAAAGATCCTGTATTCCTAGTCCCCCTTTAGACCTTGGTTGGGTGAGAACGTCCCAGGCAACTCTACTCATACACCCTTGGGAATTTGCTTTGTTTTTCCAAAGGTAGGTCGTGAGCCCTTTTCGGAGTCTGGCATACTGGTTCTTTGTTAATGGCCACACCGCCAGTTTATACCAGATTGCAGCTAGAACAGCGTTATTAATAGCCAGAGCCCGGCCCACTAACGAGGTATGGAGGCCCTCCCACCTTGCTAGTCGATCAATTGCTAAGTCCACCAGTGCATCCCCATGATCCGGAGGGGGCCCCAGTGCTGTTAACCTCACCCCAAGGACCCGAATAGCCTCCTCATTTGTCTGCCATTTGACCGCTGGTTGTGGCGGCGGGGGCTGCTGTTGAGGCGACAACCACCATCCTTCTGTTTTAGAGCCCCAATTAACTTTCATATCTTCTGCGAGCGAGAACTGGTGGATAACGTGGGAGAGGGCCCGAATGCTGTCAGCATCAGCTTTAATGAGAACCGTCAAATCATCTGCAAACAGCGAGGTCATTGGGATGAGGTGGTCGGGGAGTTCGGGAATGGGAACCTTGCTGATGTGTGGGTGGGCCCTGATAAGTGAAGCAAGGGTCTCCATCACTATGACGAAGAGTAGGGGTGCAATGGGATCACCCTGGCGCACCGATCTCTGAAGCACTATAGGGGGCGAAAGATGGCCGTTAAGCATAATGTTCGTGGTGGCCGATTTATGAAGGAGGCGGATTCATTGGCGAAATATCGATCCGAAGTTCATTTTCTCCAAGCACATATCCAAAAAATCCCAGTCAACGTGGTCGTACGCTTTTTCAAAGTCAATAAAAAGTATCGCCGCTGGGTCATTCCGTTGTCTTGCATACTTTATGGTCTCGTTGACCAAAAGTATATTATCCTGGATATTGCGGTTGGGCATGAACCCCGTCTGGTCAGGGTGGATCAGCATGTTCATTAGGGGTAGCAATCGGTTAACCAAAGCTTTGGCCACCATTTTATAGGGAACTAGGAGGAGGGTGATCGGTCTGTAGTTTCTTATGTCCTCCTTGTCCCCTTTCTTCTAGAGAAGTGTAGTAACCCCCTGCCCAATCATGCCCCCGAGGGACCCCAGCGTCTGTATCGCCCCAATGTAGCCCATGAGGTCGTCGTGGAGCAGGTCCCAGAAATGCACCCAAAACTCCTTTGGAAAAGAGTCAATGCCTGACATTTTCTCATCCTCCATCGCGTTCAAAGCCTCCCATATTTTGGCAGGGGAGAGGGTTTTTTCCAGCCCCTCTTTTTGGTCCGATGTAAGCCGCGATTGAACCGATTGCAGAAGATTCTCCCTTGCGAGCCGAACCTCGATGGGGTCTTTTTGAGGAGTCTGGGAGGTGAAAAGATGCCGGTAATACTAAGCCGCATAGTCTGTTATAGCATAGGCATTGTTAGCTGCATGTACATCGTTGCGCAGGGGGTGTTTGAGGATGGGGACAGTGGCGGCCCTGGTTCTTGCTTTTGCCTTGGCAAAGAAAGACTTTGCCATCGTCCCATCTGCATGAGTTTTCTTGATTTTAGCGAGAATCCTCCATGCCTGTGTTTGCCTTTCGATGTAGGCTAGGAGATGGTCCCTCGCCTCTTGCATCTTCTGGAACGAGGGGAGGTCCAACGGGTTGTCCATCTGTGTACTATCCCACTCTTCCAAGTCTAGCATGAGTTTATCGAGAATAGCTTTGCGGTCCCTTGAATGCTGAATAGAGAATTTTTTGGTCCTATCTCTTAGTTGAGCTATACCATTATTAAACCAGGCCACCCTATCACCCGACTGCGGTCTTTGAGTTTGCCAATACTGCCAAAACTCATGAACCAAATCCTTAAACTTGGGCAGAGACAGCAGCAAAGTATTGAACTTATAAAAGTCCGGCCCCCGAGTGATGTGAGTATGAAAGGATAGGCCCAACGTGACCATTCTATGGTCAAAGGACTTGCAAGGGCTAATTGCAGCTACTTCAGCCGAGGTAACCAGACCAAGCAAGTCCTTAGAGACAAGCAGATCAATTCGAGAGTTGGCCAGGCCATGGTTGCCCCTGGAAGACACGCACGTATAGGCTCTTTGAGCTGGGTGCAGCATTCTATAGGCGTCCTCAAGGCCCCAATCAGCCATGAGTTGTCTGAGCATCAAGATGTCGGGCCCCACATGTGGCATGGGCGGGTCTTGCGTGTGTTGATGAGGTTGCTCTCCGATCTATCACCGGGTCTAAAGTGGTGTTGAAGTCCCCTGCCATTATTATCGGGGCGTCGTCGGGGAGGTGTTGCTGCAGGGGTCACCCTGAGCCCTGGGTCATTGGGGGCATAGATATTAATAAGGTAAAATTCTTCATCATCATATGCCAGTTTCAGCGACACCCACCTACCTGACCGAACGTCGTGTTGCATCGACAGAGGTTTAAGTCTCGAAGAAGGGGGGATCCAAATTGCCACGCCTGCTGATGCCCTTTCCGTTGCTGGCGCTTGGTAGGAGGTGTAAGGCCAAATGGCGTTTCCTTTGGCAACATGTGGGGGGATGTCTTGGAGGTGTGTTTCTTGAATGCACACCACATCCGGCCATCCGTCGGTGGCCGGATTTTTCAGCATTGCCCATATGGCCTGCTTTTTTTCCGATGTTGCCTGTATAAGGCCATTGACGTTGAGAGAGCGGATGTCAATATCAGCCCGGGCCAATTTAGCTGCCCATTGCGGCGGGTTCTTAAGTTTGGGGAACACCGGAGGGAGTGGGGGGCAGGATGGCAATGGCTGAGGGGCCAGGGTCTGTGCTGGCCCAGCAGGAAAGAGGTGTGGTAGAGAGGCAAGGTCCTGTTGCCGATTGTTATGTAGTTGCTGCATAATAGGGTCGGCCATCACGGGCTAGTAGTTGGGACTGCGGGATATCCCAATATCCCTGGGTAATGCTCAGTCCTTGATCTTAATGGGGAGGACAAAGGGGGGGTCATCCCATTGGTTATGCATTTCCAGCACACTGTCCTCCAAGAAAAGCTGCATAAACATTAGTATGTGGTCAGCCGACCATTCAACGTTGGCCTTAAAGCGAGAGGCATCCAGATCCAAAAGTTGTCTACGGTTAAACCATGTGAAGCTATTGGGAGATTTTTGCAGTCTCACCCTAGGGGCTACTAGCAAAAAAACTGGGATGATACCCTTTGGGAAAGAGAGTGTGTTAGGCCGCACCGCACCTAGTACCCCAGTGGTAGCCGTATCACTCACCCAATGCTTCAGGCGTTTAAGGATGACCCCTGTGGAGGGGTTGCCTCGCCACCCATCCACCGTAAGGCCCATCAGGGTAGCATTGTGACTGCTGGCTTCCTGCAGTGGGGGTCTAAAACCCAGCACCCACTCTCCTCCTTGTTTGACTCTGGTAATTGGGAAGAGGACCACTCCAGGTGGCATCGCCACCGGGGTGCTATCGTCCAATTGAAGTCTCACCCGCTCTCTCAGTTTCTGCGGGGGGGGTGTGAGATCCCTGTCCTCATCTGGTGCATCCAGTGCAGGCAGCAGACCGTCATCTTCATCATCATGAATGACTTCGATTATAGCCACGTGACGGGAGGGGGTCGTAGTGCAGTCCTGGTAGAGTGGATCCTGTGGGCGGTGCAGCGCTTGTTGTGTTTGGCCATTTTGCAGTGCCAAACGGGAACCACTTGGGGTGAGTTCCTGCACACTTTGCGGCTCCGGGAGAGCATACAGGGTTGCACACAATTCGTGCACCAGGGCCCTGGGCCAAGCGAGACCCTCGTGGTGGAAGGCCTCATCCTGAGGACCAGTCTGACCTGCAAGGCAATTCCTGGCAAAGTTATCTATTTTGTCCAGGAACTCATTGACGACAAGGACAATAGCTGCCCCCACATCCATCCAGTCAATTGCAGTGACTGTGTTGTACTTTTCCACCGTCGCAAGAACTCTGGGGCTGTAGATGAGCACCATTTGCCTCCCCCCAATATTTCGTTTTCAGTTTATCATGTGGTCTGTCATCCGAGAGGGAGAAGATTTTAGCAAGAGTCTAGTCAGTCAAAAACTGGAGTTTTTGTTTAACCTCGTCGTTGGCAGATAATGGGGGGGGTGGGGGGGACTGCATACTTGTCTGCGGCATTCCTGGCGGGGTCAGTTCGAGCTCCATTTCCTCTGGTGCAGTTTGCCGGTCTTGCTGCAGTAAGGCCTGGTCCTCCGGGGCGGACGTGTCCATCTCTTGGGGAGGACATTCATCACCATGGTTCTTCGACACCCCACAGATCAGGCCGTGGAGCAGAGGCGGTCGTACTAGAAGAGCATTTTGGTGATCGACCTGTTGCTGCCAATAGATGTGCAGCTGTTCTTGTTGTTGTTGCAGCACTTGTTGCTGCTGGCAGCATAGCTGCTGCTGCCATTGCAAGTGCATTTGCTGGAGAAGCTGCTGTTGTTGGATCAGCCTCTGCTGGTACTGCTGCTGATGATATTGCGCCATTTGAGTTTGCAACAAGATGTGGAGTTGCTCCTCACATTGGTTATTTTGTTGCTGCTAGAGCTCCTGGGTCTGTCTCTGTGCGTGAGTCAACAACTGCAGTTGGGCTTGTTGTTGGTGCTGGTGATATTGGTGCTGCATTTGTTGGTGCTGTTGTTGTTGGTATTGCTGTTGCAGCTGCAGTTGCTGATGTTGTTGCAGCTCTTGGAGGTAGGCAGTTTGATGCTGAGAGAGCTCAGGCAGTTGCTGCTGCTGAGGCTGCTGTTGATGAGGGAGTAGTTGCCTATCCGGATGTGCATCCAGGTGCGTATGATGCTCTTGACACACATCCATGTGCAGCAGTCTGTCAGCCGAGTCCACTTGCTGCTGTTGATCCCCAGTGGAGAACTGCTGTGGGTGACTCGTAGCCTGTTGTCCCTCCCCCTCCCCCTGTTCTTCCTGCAGATCGCAGTGGTGGGACAACATCTCTGCAGATAGTTGGTTGGCACGGGCTGTGCCGTCGCTGTTGGAATGGGCAGCGGGCTGAGTCCTGGGTTGGGAAGAGGCCGCCCCTTTGATTTTGTTTATCAGCGAAATTGCTTTAAGCCACTTATTCTGCGGGGCAGGTTTCGTTTTCTGTTTTAGCGGGACAACGGGGAGGCTTTTAGTTTGTGGCGGAGCCGCCACCGGTGGTTTGGAACTTATGATATCCCCCTCTGCCCCATGGTTTCCATTCCCAGGAGAAGGGGGCTGCAACGAGGACAACAGGCGGGTTTGAGGCAGGGGCATAGGGGCCATCAGGCCTGGGGATGGCTGGGCATGAACATGTGAGAGCGGCACCTCAACTCCGGCTCTCACTTCTTTCATGGCCAGGCCCCCTGCCCACTCGCAGCTGTGTGCTGCGGGTAAGGTGACAGCCTTTGGGGCAGTAGCTTTATCCCGAGACCGTTGGCCCAGGCCTCCATCCTCCTGATCTCTGTCCTGGCTCTTCCCTCCACTTCCCCCAGCCCCACAGTCCTGAGTCCCATCCCCTGAAGTTCGGGACTGTAATGGAGACGGCAGGCGGGTTTGAGGCAGGGGGACGGGGGGCATCAGGCCAGGAGGAGGCTGAGCGTGCTGATGGGTTTGTGGGAGGGGCACCTTAGTCTCAGCTCTCTCATCTGCCAGGGCTGGTCCCCCTGCCCCCCCGCCATCGTCTACTGCTCGCAAGGCGGCAGCCTTCGGGGCAGCAGCACCATCCACAGGCTGTGGGCCCAGGTGTTCAGCCTCCTGTTTGTTGTCCTGGCCCTTCCCTCCACTCCCCCCTGCCCCACCGTCCTGAGAAGGCACAGGGGGTGGGGGCTCCTCCTTTTGACGAGCTGGAGGGGGCGGGGGCTCCTCTTTTTTACTTGATCCCTACGTGGCCCTTCACTAAGTACTGGACTTCAGCCGTACAATATTATGATAACCAATTCTCTACTTGGCTAGTGCATAGTATGT